AAGGATTAAGTGAGTCAACATGTCAAGGGCTCTGAAAGTTGCCCGGTACCACAGTTAAGGTCGATAAAATACCAGTTGTTGGGGCGCCTGGGGGGCTCAGTCAGTTAAGCGTCCGACTCTTGATTTCGGCTCAGGTCACGATCTCACAGGTTGTGAGTCAGACTTGGTGCTGACAGCGTGGAGCCTGCTTGGGATTCTCTCTTCTCTCCCTCTCTCTCTGCCCCTACCCCACGCGTGCTTGCTCTCTCTCTCAAAACAAATAAACGTTAAAAAAAAATTTTTTTTTAAGTATCCGTTGTCGTAAGGCTCACCTTATCCTTTGCCCTTGCTTCACTGTAAATGGGGCATTTTTTTCGTTTCCTCTTTTCAAATTCATTAAAAGTGTTACACGTCACGTGTAGTTCTTAGGATATACTCCTCTCCCAACTACATTTGCCACCAAGGAGGAGCCCTGGGGGTCTAGTCCCTACTCTTACAGTTAATCAAGAAGATCGGCAGGATAGTGTCCTTTGGAAATGCTGTCAGAAGTTCTTCTGTGATGGTTTAAAGTTCTTCTTCTTTCCCATCCTCAGTAAGGAATTGAATGGTGTTTGAGAAAAGTGACTCCATTATTACCCCCCTCCTTTCCTTCTTTGCCACCCCCCCCCCCCAGCCAGGTGGGTCACCTACCTCCTGGATTTTGCAGGTGACTTGAATTCACTTACTAAATACACAGTGAGTCAGGTGGTAGGCCAAAATGGATTTAGCTTTATAATTTCAGCAGTAATGGGGGTTGGAAAGCGATATTATGGAAGACGTAATAATACCTGTTTTTAAATGCCTTCAAAAGCGCTTCAAGCATTGTTACGTGACTTTTCACTGAAAGATTTAAAATCCTAGAACCAGGAACTTACACAGTTTGCATTGTCTTATGCTAACAAGACAGTTAATCAGTTTTCATAGATCTTTGCTCTTCTCTGGGTTTTTGTTGTTGTTGTCGTTCCTTTTTCTTGACAAGCCCTGTATACATTTTTGCTCTTGATGGTGTCTGCCCTTTCATAGATACTCCTGCTCCCAAGGTTGGTATTTGGTAGAGAAAATGAAGGACAGAGAAGAAAATGATCACTGCCAGATGCTTAGTGATTTGTGTGGTGATCGTTTTGATCACTTTGTAAAGATTGGTAGACTTCTCTGGCCTGTCTATGGCAGGCTAGTCTCTAGTAGACATTTTAGGACAGTTTCAAGTTCTCACCAATTTACTTATTTCCTTACTCAGTATTTATTTTACCTTCAAAATAAATTAGTAAGTGATGTTATGAAAGAGATACTAATGGCTCCTTGAAATCTGTTCGAGCACTACTAATTTCAAAATTGTCAGAGTTTGCCAATTCTTTAAAATGGGGGAAATATCACGAGGTGAAAAATAAGCTTTTACGTAAGAACGCTAGAATGTTAAGGTAAAATACTTCCTTGGCTTAAAAATCTTTTTGAAAACGGGAATTCAAAATGTTTTCATCAGCTTAAAATTTGCTTTAAAGTTCTTTATTTATCACCCCCAAATTCCTTCCGTTTTGATTTCTAACATTAAGTTTGTTTTAATCGTAAGTTGAAATTCGTATAGACTTTGTCAGTAGGAGCATGTCTAAGTATATCCTATACCTGGTTAAAAACACCATTTTCCCTAACCTGTCAACAGCTTAGTTGAGCAGTCAGACTGTATTATTCGGTATCTTGTCTGACAGGAGGACAGCAGTCCAAAGAGAAAGATAACACAAATTGGTGCCACACTTTGATAAATAGAGACATTTTATTTTTCACCAAGCTGATTCAATCCAGTTCAGTTAACTCTTTTTCCCCCTGAAGGACAGATCAAAAAAAGGCAGCCGTGAATGACTGAGTTTGTCATGTGTTTGACACGTCAGTGTGTGAAAATAAAGCCGGCCACAGGGGAGGGGCTGTGCCTTTGGATTTCAGACAATGCCCCGTGCAATAGCCCTGTCCCTCCGCTCTGTTCTGTGGGCCGCTGGACAGTCCCAGCCCTCGGCCAGAGTGGGGAACCTGGGGACGGCCGGCATTGTTGCGCACGACCCCCTTTTCCCTTCCAGCCTGCGACCGTTGTGATGTAATCATCCCTAAGAACTCTCGGGCATTTTTCAGACTGCCACGGTTTCACTTTAGTTCCATAGGCTAAAGCTATTGGTTATTACGTGGTGGTGGTGTCGTGATTTGGGTAACACGTGTGTCCTAAATGTCTCCTTTCAAAAAATCTGTGTTACAATAATTACACCACCAGTATTTCTCAGTTCAGTAATTTCTTCTTGAGATGCAGAATGAAATGTCTATCAGCATAATAATGTTTATGATACTTGTACGGTCATAATTATTTCTTGTAATGCTGTCATTATACCACGGGACATGAATTGCCTAAGTGGCATTTATGAAGGAAGATTTAAATTGTCAAAACCCTGCCTGTTGCTCCACGGATCAGGTCTAGGAGCCCTATCTTCTGCACCCAAAGCCTTCAGGGACTGCTTCCCCTCCCCCCCTTCCCCCCTCCCCCCCCACTACGGCCCTGCGTTCCGTGTCCTGCCAAGGCACCGCTGTCGCCCAGCCCCAGGCCCCACGGTGTCTGTCTTCGGAGCCCTCTCTCTCTCTGCCAAACCCATCCTTCACTTGATCTGGAATCCTGCTTTTCTCTTGACTTTGGCCTTGCTCAGCTAATTGCTGTGGTGGGACATCTCCTTCCTCCACGTGTTCGAAACCTTGGACTCTCAAGGGCGTGCTCCCCACCTCCCCAGCCACAGCTCTGCCGTGTGCTCACTCAAAGGGAGGTGGTGTTTCTTTTCTGGGTAATCCACGCGTCCTGCCTGTTCCGGGCCTCAGCCGTGCCGCCGGTGCCCAGTGAGCAGAGAGCTTGGGCTCTGTGTCACAGTGAAGAGGACAGATTCGAAGGCCAGATACCCCACCCCGCCCTGCCTCTCTTACCAGCCGTGGGACCACACTCAAGTTACCTAACCTGTCTGCGACTCGTTTCCTTGTTCTGAAAATGAAAGTCATACCCACCTTGAGGGTTGTAAAGATTAAATGGGTTAACTTTGGTCAGGTGCTTAGAATCGTATCTGGTACAGTCCAAGTGCTGGGTAGATGTTTACTCAGTAATTTGCTGAACACGTCCTGTGGGTCACTCTGCTGGGTGTTGTCCATGTTGCTAACTCTTCGTCTTTCCGGGAGTCTCTGTGCAGGTGCGTCCGCAGCCCCATTTTACAGACGACGCACCGTTAAGTGACTTGCTCAGGGTCACACGGCAAGATTAGGGCAGAATCAGGATTTGCGTTGATGCCACTTGGCTCCGGGGCCCTCGGTCACTCCTCTCCTTTAACCACTGAGGCGTGCTGCAACCCCGACTGTAAATCGCGTTGTCCTTGAGACTCAGTGGGACGGAGGGAAACGCAGCTGGATGTGTCTCTTGTCCTCTTCGGGACAGCGGTGTGCTGTGAGGCGACGGCCGGGAGGGAGTCGTCCCACTGGTCTGCCGTGGGCCGCCTTGGACTGAAAATGGGCAGGACGGGAACCGCACGTGTTAGCTGCTCCCACGGCACCCCCGGCCTAGCTGTGCCGTACGATAACGGATTTTATTTTTGGTATTTTCTCTTAAGCCACTCTTTTGTCAGGCTCTTGCGGCTTTGCTGGCACCACTGACTCTAGTCTGGAACCATACAGAACACCACAAAGACAGGGAAGGAGAGAGTGGCTCAGCCGCGTCAGCCTGCTGACGGCGTGTTCGTTTGTAGGTATTTAAAACGTGTGTTAATATGCTCTGCCGTGGCACCCGGCTCTACTGAAATACCAAATTTATCCACAGGGATTCTAGCTAGAGAAGGTCAGCAATCAGTTCTGGAAGCTTGTACTCCAGATCTTAGTCCTAGCCGATGAAGCGTCGGGTTTGTGAGTTATTCTCCCGTGCAGGTACGTGCACAGAGGCCCTGCAGATTGACCGCTTGGGCCGTGCACCTGCAGCGATAGGGATTTTCCAGACTCGCATCCAGCTGAGACTTTTCTTGCACACCGCCAAAAGTTTTAAAAGTGAATTTCTTCAAAGGATTCCAATTATTTGGCTGATAAAGCACAGATAATGAAAAAAAAAAATGTATACTTTACAGTTAAGTCTTTTTGTTTGGGGGAAGGGGGGTAAAAAGGTTCCGAGGACAGTAATGCTTTGTCGAGGCTCTAATGTCCAATACTCTTAAGTGCCGGGTCAGAGTTAAACTTGAATGGCAATGATGAAATATTTACTCATCAGATGGCTTTGAAGTTCAGCCTCTTTTTGGTCACAGCCCCTTCCTAATGGACATGTTTCAAAGAAGAAAATGATTATAGCATTCAGCTGTGACGTTCTGTTACTCTCTGCATGGAAGACAAACACATTTTGTTTGGGTCCATTGGGGTATTTAAATTTTGAAGGCCAGTTGCTTGGAAATCACATTAATGACGGAAATGGTTCATACAACTCTGACTCTGTTCTCATTGAGAGGATAGTGTATAAAAGTTAATTTTTCTAATACCTGTATAATGTTTTTAAAAGATTGCTTTAACTCATGTATTCTCCAGTCTTTCCAACCTACATTTATTGAATTCTCCATAGTTTATAGTACAAGGCTTGAGGTGAGTGCATGTATGTAAAAAGAGTAAGTTATAAAATTCAGTTTTATAAACTCTCCTGCTGGGTAAAATCGCTTATGTTTATAAAGATGTTTAGAAACTGTATCTATTTATATATAGTTCTTCAGTTCTGATAATAACTGGAGGGTTTTCCTTTAAAGTTTAAAATTATAGATACTTTAGGATGTTGAGTAAATACTGTTTTTCTTCTACATCCTGGATTAGGTTTCATTCGTCCAAGTAAATTAGGACTTTAGAAATTGTTCGTGCAGTGTGGGTTAAAAACGTATGTTTTTGTTTCCTCAACCACTGTGGACTGTGTGATATGCTTTTAACATGGATGTTTGTCTTTTGTTACTTAGTTTTCATATGAATCCAACAAGCAATGAGGACCTCAGGAAAATCCCGGTAAGTTGCCGAGGGGGGGGTTAGTGCATCATCAGAAAAGAAACCACAAACCGACCTTCTGCCTGGCATACATTTTTGAAAAAACCTTCATCCTGAACCCCTCAGTTACCTTTGGATGATAGCTTAATGTGGTCATCTGGGGAGAAAGAAGAAAAGCAAAATTCAAACTCAGTCTTTAACGTACGATAGGGCGTGACTTTATGATGTGTAGAGATTCAAGCAGTATTAGAGTTATAACTGAAGCCAACTTAGAATCTACACATTTTGTTTACAGACTGTTAAAATTAATGTGAAAGCTGTAGGTCAAGGTCAACATCACGGTTATGAAATGAGAGCGTGGGGAGAAAATGGACGTTTTTTGTTGTTGTGACAAAGATCGAAGAAAGAATAAAACTGCCTGTTAACTTTCAAGAATAGGAAAAGCATCTTGGCAAGAGATCGAGGTAGCCGGGAGAGTCTTTGAAAGAACCTTTAGGACACTTACCTTCTTAGAACAAAACCAAATATATTAACAGGCTTGGAAGCGACCATCTAAATGTAACTCACATTTTGCAAGGATCATTCAGATATCTTAACTTCATTTTACTGTGTTTGAAGTCCAGGTTTGGATCTCTGTTCAGAGTTCACTGCATCTTCAGTCGATTCTAAAAGCATTAAAATCTAGAGAGTAAGTTACTGTACAAAAATATGGGCACATGTTCTCGGTAGAAAACTGGATTCCCACTGAATAACAGAAATAGAGCCTTTATTCCAAGAGGCTGGTGGTTGCTGTTTGAACCATCTGTCCTTAATGTGTGTGATCCAGATGTATAATAAGAATTTTTTAAAGCAATAACATATCGCAATTTTCTATGATGTGATATGCCTAGAAGAAACTGGTGTGGTGTATAAACCGTTCTAAATGTAGTTATTTGTATTTAAAATTATAGAAAGCATTATAGAAGCAAAGGACTTTGTACTGCATTTTTGCTGTTTTATGTAAATGATTTATAAGTTTTGATGTTTCATAAATACTCGAGTCTTTATAATATGGCAGTCTGGCGAGAAAATGTCAGAATATATGAAGTCAGCCTTTGATCAGATAGTAAAATGAATTCTATCAGGCGGTTACTTAATCTCAAACAAAATGCAACATCAAAAAATCGATTTAATGTGCAGCTATTGTTTATTAAGTAACCTTAATTACAATTTCTGTGTGCTTGTAAATGTACTTTTCCCAATCTTGTGATTTATTGCCGTAAAAGCATCCTTAGAATTCTTTAAAGAAATATAAATGTGAAAATTGTTTTAGTTAAAGGATTTAAAGGTGATAAAAGAATCCTTGATGTGCGATTCTTTTTCTCTGGAATACTAACTCTTCTAAATGACAGTTGAAGGATTACTAGGTGTTGTTAATTTACCGCAGGATGCAATTAAGAGGAGAAAGCTCATCCTTCTCCGGATCGTTATTGAGGGAAAGCATTTGAACAATTCTTCTGTTGAAGATTATAAGATGTTTGAAGTAATTTACATTAAGTTCTCCAATAAGAGCCATCCCCCAAGTTATTTTTTCCCCTTCTGGGCCTAGTATTTTGTAATTAAGTTTGTATGTCTTCCATGCTGGTGCCAACACCTGTCTGTGAAAGCGCAGTGTTTAAACAGGAGCAGTAGCCAGTTGAAAGGGCAGCGCGAGCTCTTTAAGGCCTAATTAAGAACTGAAAGGGAGGTGAAGGCAGTCGGACAAAAGATGTGAAAGTAGCTGAGATGATATTCCCAGAGCAAAGTTCCTCATTAGAACAATAATGAGAAGATCAGAGAATGCCAAGCCTTCATCTTTCTGTCTCTTTCCCCTGGCCGCCTTGGATGGCAGTTAGTGCCCCACCAATATTTGGTTGCCAGGACAACCTCTCTTGAAACCTCCAGTTATTTTGAGTCCTGATAATTTGCTTTTGTTTAAATTTCAATATTGCAAAAAATATACATTTCCCGGTGTAAAAGGCTAGGCTACGTGTGAAGTAAAAATAGCTCCCTGGTAATTCTCAAAAGTCTTTCGTACAACTGTGTTACTTAAAATTCCGATTGGAAAACTTCACGTCACGATTCTGCTGTCCTCTCACCCCATCCCCACTGTCTGATATCTGCGTATGGAAATTTTGAACCGAAGTTCCGTGGGGATGACAAAGGATGGGTCGTGAGAGGGGAAGAGAGAAGACACATTTACGTTAAATCTCAATACAAGAAGACAGCTTAAAAACATACGTGCTGTCTGTACGGAGTGCTGGAGGAATAAATACTGAGTACCTAGGAGCCCTGCTGGGGTTATTTGAGTCTCCACCAGTTTGGAGGTTTCTCAGTTTTAGAAGTTCTTCTGAGAACAGTGTTAGAAATATCTTTTGGAAAAATAATTAATTTTTATATTTGCCTGAGAGTTTTCCTCTTCAAGCCAAAGGACTTTTGTAACCAGCAAATAACTCCATTCCCTATTGTATGTGTTAATATTAGTCTGTATTATTTTGTTGGGAATTGTATCAACGAACAGAAGGAGACATCTATATGTATTCACTGAATAGGTCAGTCAGTGCAAGCATCTGATGCCTAAAATTAGAAGGGTTAACTGGCTTTCAACTGTGGGATGAAACCTGGAACTAAGCACAAAACTGTTTTTAATTATTTTATATTCTTTTCCAGAATATAGTTTATAGTACATGTGTTTCTAAGATGTTTTCCTGCCTAGAAACTCAATGCAGAAATTTGGGGGGAAATTTTCACATAAAAGGACAAATGGAAAATTTATTGAGAAGGCCAGAAATGTATTTCCAGGAAATCTGTCTATATATAAGTATTAGATGGTCGGGAGGGGGGAAAAATAAGCCAAATAGTGGCTTTTCTACGCCAGATTATGGCTTTAAAGCGTTGAGCAGTATTTATGGTAATTGTTTTGAGAGATTAAATTGTTAGATCGATTCATATCATGGCTTTCATGTAAACTACACATGTCAAAATAAGGATTCTTTGACATGTTCTTCATCCTCATTGTCTTCACAGAAATGTTTAAAAACGATTTCCATTACATTATCTGATAGTCCTGGTGTGGTGGTAAATATAACCATCTGAATGATTTTCTAACTGTGTATCGTCACTTAATTAGTTTGGAGGAATCAGTTCATATATGTGTAATTTGATTAAGATTAGAGAGACTCAGGCTGACGCTCTTATTATGTTAAACTAAGAAAACACATAAAACAGTCAACTCGGCAGTAATGAACTCCATTTAGTGCAATTTCATTAACCCCTGCAGTTCGCACAAGAACTCTGTTTTTCGGTAAATGTTTTATTAGATAAATGAAGTCACATGAGTTGGATGTCGCTACTTTTTTAAAAATGGAGTTCAGAAAAAAATTGCTTTGTAGACCAGGAAATCTTAGAATTGAAAGGAACCGTGGAGAACATCTCATTTATCAGATAAGGGAAGTGAGGCCTAGGCCGGTATCTGTGTCAAATCTATGCAGAATTACTTAGGTTATAGTAAGAAAGTTTAGCTTATTTTTAAGACATTTTAAAAATATACTTACCTCAGTATTGAGTACTACTGTAGCTTATCTTTTCTTTAGAAATCTGCTTAATGTAATAAATGTTTAACAAGAATGTGGTTAGGAAATTATAAGTTTTATATCTCTAAACTGCTCATGACCAGTTATGTAAGTTAGTAAACATGTGAGTCTGTGTGTGTGTCTATGTGTGTGTGTGTATAGTCTTATTATTACAAAAGATTGAGAGAGAAGAAAATAAAAAGTAAACCAACACTTCTCTCCAGAGTTGTTGTGAAGTAATATTCTTAAATGTTTTTAGGGACAAAGGTAATATGACTCATAAAGTTGTATCTGCTCCCAGTTTCTAGTGCTAAAATAAGTTGTTTTAAATATAATCTTATGGAATGGAAGCTCACTTTTCCGTTAGCATCCGCTCTGTCCTTTCTGCTAATCTGTTGGAGGCTTTTATTACTTGCCTTTAATGTTTCATTCAGTAGCTTTACAACTAAGCTCCTCCAAATGATCCTACCCACTGCTCCCATTTTAATTTTCCTAGAACTTCGCTTTAATCATACTCTGCCTCTGTGTAGAAACCTTCCATGGCTTCCTCACCATTGCAGTAAGTCTCAAAAGTCCTTAATAATAGCATCCAGCGTCCTTGACAGTCTGTCGGAACCTACCATTTCAGCCTCTTGGCACTCTGTCCTGAACCAAATTATTTTCCAGCTGTTCTCCACGGATTACCTACTGTTGACCCTTACGCCTTGAATCACGTTTCCTCCTTTAAACGAGCAGAGCGCACTGCTTCACATGCCCATGGCGTTGGATCAGTTTTGGGTCCTGAATTTTTCCTTTATCCTTGAGAAGGGAGTGACTTTGATAACC